GTGGTTGAATGGCTTGCTATTTTTGCAATGAGACTTTAGTTAGACAATGCATTATATATATATAGATGGTCTTCACTTGTCGCTGGAGAGAGATTGGGAGGTGCATGACACTACTTATTACAGGAAAGGGAATATAGTGGTTGAATGGCTTTGCTATTTTTGCAATGAGACTTTAGTTAGACAATCATATCTGTCATACTTCATATCCACCCATCTTCTTATCTTCTTAAAGACATCTATAGGTTACTCTCCCCTTTCTACATTATGTATTTTCAAGAGTCTATTTTCTCATCCAATAAATTTTTTTTTTAATGCTATTATTTTCAAAACTACGAAATTGAAGAATAAACCACAATTTAAAACTTAATTAATAGACATGACACTTCAAATTTAGGGATAAACTTGTCTGGAACCAGTTTATGAGCCCATTCGTAAACCAAATCAATCATGATTTGATTTTCAATAATTATTTCCACTTTACCCTTTTTCTTTTCTGGTGAATACCTTCATTTCATATGAAAAAAATAAGTATTTTCATTAGTTTAGTCTATAGATAGACTCACATACCGAAATTTAGGTAAGTCATTCTCGAAATTTAGATAGTAAATAGATCTAACATACATGACATTAACTTTTCTAAATCAGGTTCATAGCTCACTCATGGACGTTACTAATAAAAAATAAATTTTTATTAAAATGTGGGTATTTATAATATTATAATTTAAAAAATAAAGTGAAAATAATATTTAAAAATCTTTATTTTCGTTTGTTTAGTTGATCATAAACCGGTCGTAAACAATTGTAGTTGAACGTATAAAATCAAAATAATTTCGCAAGAAAATCCTAACATTATAATTTGCTGTCAAATATATGTAATATTAGGAAAACATTATCTTCAAATGTATCAGAAAAAAAATTGAAATCATCTCCAGAACTGCAAGATCACAAGTTTAAATCACAAGCAGAATAATTTTGCAATGAATTATCAAGTGTAAATAATTTTGAAAGGAAACCCTAATTAACCTAACTGGCCCTTTATATTGTGGGTAGCTAGGGTGAGCAAAAACTTGGGATCAGAACATTTGGATTTGGGATTGGCTATGGTGAATTGGTGATGCAATCACTGATCTACTATATATATATATATATATATACACCTTACTTGCAGGAAACCACTACTCATTGCTGTAACAAAGTACTGGACCACAACAGAGTACAGTAGTGAGAGAGAGAGGATGATGATCAATACAACAAGCAACCTCCTGTTATTACCTCTCTCTCTCTCTCTCTCGCTATTGTCCCCATGCCCCCACGCACGTGCACTCCTTATGGCTGCTTTCTTTTTCTTCGCTAGGCAGACAAAAACTCAGCAACTTGTATTTTGGATATTTTTGAGCATCTGGGTAAGCAACCAGGGAACCAAATATACAAACCAACAAGCTAAGTTAATAAAAATGTCTAAAAATGGCATCTTTATATATGTATATATTGATCACATGCATTACATATGAAAAAGAAGCATCTTTCTTTCTTTGCATGCAAATCACTAAAAAACAACTAGAATGTCACACTTCTCAGAGAGAAAGAGAGGAGTGTGCATGGCTTATCTTCTCATGATAATATTCATGTATCATGGGAATATTTTCTTTTCTTTTCTTTTTCTCCCTGAAGAAATCTATGATGTATATAAGAAGATCCCTTTGTCTGCATGCACAACAAAAGGGAATTTTTTCTTTTCAATTTGGCAATTTTCCTTCTTCAACTTCCATTCCTAGATATGGAAAGCACTCCATTGCAGAAATCTTACTTTGCAGATCCTCTTCTGTCCCCACATAATATACCAAGATCCGAATCCTAGAACTTGGATTGTAAAAAGGGTGTTTGCTTCTTTTGTGAATAGTCCAATCCCGACATCAGTAGTTTGTCTCGTATCAATTATATCTATTAGATGAATGTGAATGAATTATAAATACAACTCTAAGAATTGACTCAATTTGTAAAACAATTTGCTTTTCATCTTATTTACCAAAGTTTAATAGCCATTTATAGCATTAATATTTAAGAGAAAATTTCTGAATTCATAAAATCAAGATTGTGAATAAGCTGATGACCTCAAATTTTTCAAGATTTAAGTTTTAACTCCAAATTTTTATATAATATATTTTTAAGAACATATATTTTGGTGTCAACTTTTTCAAAATTTTATTTCTTACATGCATATTATGCATTTTTTTAAGAATATATATACTTAGACATTTCATATATATTTTAAAATTGCAATTTTAACACACCAAAAGTAAAATTTGTTCATTTTATACCACTATGTTTTTCCTTTCTCATATTTATTTTTGGCATCCCAAATACTAAAATCTAGTTTGGCCAAATCACTTGGAGAGAAAATTTACTTCTAATTAAACAAAAATTAGTGAAAAGAGGTAATAAGTGATAGACATGCATGCATTTGTTGCAATTCTGTCATATGTATGTGATCATTAATGTATTATGTTTGTATAAAAACAGGCACCAAAAAAACTGCAGAGGAATCTCCTCACTTGTTCTTAACCCTTTTATTTTTATTTGTATCCTTTCTGCACAGTACCAAACAATGATAAAGAAAGGATAGAACGAAGATGGCAGCAAGAAAAAGAAAGGCACCAAGCTTCATGTGTTCAAGAAAGTCCAAGAAAGGGAAAAAGAGAAGCAATCTATAATGTATTATATCTATCCAGTACCTACTGCTACACTGTTACTCTCACTGCTACTGTTAGAAGGGAGAGTGTCGAGAGAGAGAGAGAGAGAATGGGTTGGTTGGGGATAAATTTAATTAATTAGCTACCATTATTTGGTCTCCACATCTTTTTATGCGTTTGAACTCCTATGTACGGATGACATTTCCTCTTACAGTGTGGAGTGTAAGCATTAAAAAGCTGCTGTTCTTCATTTTTTTTATTTTATATGTTTCTTGTTTTTATTTTTACCCCATTCTTATTAATTATTTTGAGATTTGACATCCCAAATTTGGCTGGTATATATAGACTTTTGATAAGTCTACTACGTACCCTCTTGTTGTTGCTATGGAGAATCTTTTGCTTTTCTTCAGACAAATCATTAATTTGCTTCTCCCCTCTTATTTCTTATTTATCCAACTCTATCCTTAAGTCCATAAAACAAAATAAAAAAAACTTTTATGATGATTAATGTGTCGTTAACATTCTATTGTAAAAAAGTATCTTTTGAAATGATAAGCGGTCTTAATCTTTACGATGAAAATATAAATTTAATTTTTAAAAGCACACTTATTGAAAGGACAAAAAACCTTTATATTTATAGCTCGAAGGGAAATATATCCTACAAAAGAAAAGAAAAAAATCTCCTTAACATATTTTCAAATTTCAATCAAGAATTGTATTTATATAATTAACAATTTGAATCCTCTTAATTGGGATAAATAATTAAAACTAACCATTTCACTATAATCTATTTAGTCAAAATCGGAGTCAATATGTATTCATCTCTATTTTTTTTTTTCTTTTTCATTTTTTTTCAGTTACATGTACATTGGATACATTCTCACTCTTAAATCTTAAGACGTTTCAATATGTAAAAACTAATTAATGCTCAAGAAATATATTATTATGGAAAAAAAAAATAAATTCGCCCCTAATTTATAGTCAAATTTACACATGAATATTTCTATTTTCAAAAACTAGTTATGAGGTCTAACATATTGGTCCTTCTGTTCAACAAAGCGTTTCTTTTTTTTTTTTTTTTAATAAAAAAAAAATAAAATTCGCCCCTAATTTATAGTCAAAAATACACATGAATATATTCTTATTCTTCAAAAAACTAGTTATTTGCAAGGGCTCTAACCATATTGTCCTTCTTTTTCAACAAAGCGTTTTCTTTTTTTTTTTTTTTTTTTAATTGTCATTGGAACTAAAAAATTGGTTTCCTAAATTATAATCAAACTAATTTATAAGGTTGCAAGCTTATTTGGAATTTCCCATTTACATTTTACTTCATCTATTTTGAGGCGAACGATAACGGACTAAAGTGTTAATTAAGACCATAATTTGAGAACCTCTAATATAATTAGTTTTTGAAAATAGAAATCCTCATTTGTTAATTTGATTTATAACTCGTATAATTTATGGTTTATTTTTAAAATTAACAGGAAATTGGTTTTACTTAAGATTGCAATATGGTTACCATATATATATATAATATATATATTATATATATATAATTATATATATTATATATATTATATATATAATATATACACAAAATATATATATACACAACAATATGTAGTATAAAGAATAGAATGCACATGGTCAACTAAGTGTAGTTCAATTGATATTCTCACCGGTGTAAAAAGTGGAAAAGCTCCCTCTGATGTGTAGCACATTATGTTATTTCTATCCATTGGACCTCCTAACAAATTAAAGAAAAAAAAACAGAGTTCACATGAATTGCAGGCTAAGTCATGAAGGAGGCTATCCTACAAACAAGTATTCTATGGCATCACAGTTCCAACAATGATGTCAGTGACGAAGTGATGGTGGCTTGGGGAAGAGACCAAAAACCTTGAGGGGGCTTCATGCAGTGCACGGCCACTTAAGCTAACCTGAACTGTAATAATAATATTCCTGATTGGATGATCTTTACTATTCATCACATTGCCTTAACCAATGGCTTTCTCTAGTGCCTCTCACGTTACATTCAGTTGCACAAAAGAATAGTTTTTAGTACCTACACCAGCAGCCAGGACAGGCAGTGTGAACCTGAACATGGCAGCCGATGATGATGGTGGGGTTCATGGCCTGAAATAACTTAGAAATAGTTACGTTGTGCCAATTTAAAAAGCATCTCATCAGGCCGGAACCGACCAACACTCTGCCGGACAATTAATGTCTTATTTGACAATCAAAAAACACAAATATACATGTAAAATGTTTAGTCCAATACTCCCTAAGGCTATTTGAGGCAAAAAAAAATTATTCAAAGAAAATCTTGAAGGAGGAAAATTGGACTTAGAATGCGAAATTGACAGGAAACAAACAATATTATTTTATAATCCATTCTCCAACAGATAATATCACCAAAAATTGTGATGCCTACTTTTTGTGAAGGAAATACGCCTAGGCTAATCAAAACTAAGCTGGCATACTGATATATATACCTTTATGTCCCAATTTGCAGCCAGACAGCATCTTCATATATTCTCAAGGTCAATGAATTTCATCAGTTTAATTCCTTGAGATAGCTTGATTTGATTGTAAAACATTTTCATTTGAGTCATGTTTCATTTCGAGTAAAAGGGACCATAGAAGCTTAGACATTTCACAACCACTTCCTCCAACTGGTTGTTCTTCTGTCACCTGATAATAATCTAGGAATGCTTAGTAAGCTATTAACCCTTGTAATACCTTCTAAGGCTGTCCACTCCTCGTCCTCTGCGGTTGAAATGCACTCGGCTAGACTCCTCTTTGACTGGCTCTGACTCTTCAAAGAAAGCTTTTCCTCTGTCAACTCAGAGACAGGAACTATCTCATCAGAGCCTCGTATTGTGTCTGAATGACTAAGAACATAAGCATGAGAATCATCATGTGTTTCCAATTCCCCAACAGTTTCATTGGATTTCATCACACTCTCCACTGGCTCATTTGGAATCTTTTTCAAATCCGACTCCACCTCTCCATTAGCTTCAGATAAATGTTCGAGAAAGAGGCAAACAACAGCACAATCATCATTCTTGGAAGTAGGATATTTAAGCCTCCATGCTCGAACTGCACAGTCTACAAGAGCTCTGGCTGCTGTTGCACGACTAGGGGCTGAGGCCACAATATCGACAGCTTCCTTATTTGAGAGGACATCCCAAACCTGTGTCATTAAAAATTCAACATTAAAAAATTTTAACAGTATAAATGCAATTTATGCATCAAGAACAAAACAGTCTTCCCCTTATGATAGACTTAAACAAGCATGCAGATCTATCATTGTATTCTAAACATTAAACATGGCCTAGTATAACGAGAAGTAGCAGAAGTATGGATAACATTAATATGTCAACAAAACAGACTGACACAAAAAATAATCTTGAAAGAAGCTGCTAGCATTACAAATTGAATTCTTTCAGGTTCTTTTTTTTATATATTTTTTTATTTTATCTATCTTACCGAAAAATTCCAGTTCAGTTTAAAATGAAATAAATAAAATAATACCCCATCAGTAGCAAGAATTATGAATTCATCCTGCTTGGTAAGATGGCGATAATAAATGTCTGGGATTGAAATTAAACCAAAATCCTTCAGACAGAAGTCCCCAAAAGCTCTAGCCATTGCAAGACCAGGAGAGTCATTGTTAGGCAACCATACACGTGCAACCTCTGGCTCATCCTTCAATGCAAAGACCCTTCCTTTACATTGCTGGATCCTTGCAGCTTCCCCTAAATATTAAAAGGAAACAAATTTCAAGTTCTACCAATATATGTCTGAAGTAGTTTTCCAATATATTAGATTACAAAAATACTGTATTTACAATTTTCCAGATGCAACATATGAACTTATGTGTACTTGCATCTTTTTTGGTATGAAATTGTGTGCTCATATGTATTATTTGTGTGTGCATGTGAGAGGGGAAAAGAGCGGAGAGAAACTTGGCAGATCAGGCTTCAAGTCAACAGTCAGTTGTACGGCAAGCAAAGAGTTGTCTTCATCTCTGGTTGCCAGAACCGCTCTGGAGTCGCCAAGATTTCCAATTACAAGATCCTGGCCCTGAATGGACACATTTTCACAATATGAAAAGGGTTTGAGTATCATTACATAAAAAATCAAAATCATTTCAGTAAATCAAGACAAAAAATAATAAGTAGTCATCTCCGTTAAAAAAAATGTTTATCAATTAACATTCTGGAAAGGATAATAATATATTGGATCAAGCTTAATAGTCAATGACACGAGTTCAATGGAGAAAACTTGCAGAAAATGACTGGCCTGGCAGCAATCACGTGGTTTTAGGCAAGAACTGAACATACACAAGCTTTTATTCAGGGGTACAAGAAGGCAGTTATTGTCAGATATGCGCTATTAAGAGCTAAGGTATCTTGTGTGAGGCATTGTATTTTTGAAAGTGCTAGAAACACTTGAGTGTAGATCCTCATAGGCTAGAGGCGGGCCTGTGGCACAAAGCACAAGCATTCACCTAACAACAGTCAGGCACATGTCTTTGAACTTAATATATAATAATTTATAAGAAATATTTATAAATGCATGATAAGAAAAATGCTTTCTAATATTTATTAATTTAAGCCCACATATTGATGCACAAACGTCAATTGTTTAAAACTTCTTCCAAAAGTATGCAAAGCAATTAAGTATGAGATAAACTAAAAACATTGCTGTTATTCTTATACTTACAAAATATGCCCAATCATTTAGAAATAACAGGAATGAGGTTTTATCATACCCCAATAACCTTTATTCTATTAATTCCTTTTCCTTGATGGTTGCCCTTACTCGCTCTTTGATCTTCTAGACTTTTCACGTTTTATAATAAAAAACCATCAGGCAAAGTGCACCTTGGTTTAAAACTATAAAACATATAAATATCACGTTTTATATCTTCTAGACTGTTCTACACAAGAGAAGTGCTTTTTGGTGCCTTAACTTCCAATGTGTCTTGGACACCAAAGTAAATGTGCCGTCTTGGGACAAAACATCACTTCAGTCTCATTGCGCACATTTCAGCTATATAACATCATTGAGAAGGCACCAATGTCATAAAGAAACTGAACACCATTGAAATGATGGTAGCATGCTTTTTAACAGGTTTGCTGCTGGAAAAGACTCTAAAGTTGGTTGAATAGTGCTGAAATGTTTTGGAGCAATTAAATAAGGCAAACTAGATCACTATCAAAACTGTCATTCACATATGAAACTAAGCACTTGCATGCCACTTTTCCATATTACATGGGAAAATGAACGTGGCTGCACCTTATCCAGTGCCATAATGATGTGGAAAGCTAACCCTACTCTTTATTTGGCAAATTGGATCATCCCTTTCTCTCTCTCTCTCTCTCTCTCGTCTTATTTTTTCAGGTTTATAAGCTGGTACTTTCTGTTCAAGAAAAAAAAGAGCCCCCAAGTTTGCTTTTGACTATTTTCTTACAGTTTGTTTGGGAGTTTAGAAAGGAGACAAAATAAGAGAAGAGGAGGAGAAGCAAGAGTAATTATCCTTTCTTTTTTTTTATTTTTTTGGTTAGAACATGAAGGAGAAAATGTGGGGAAATCCCTTAGAAAGGAAGGGAAGGAAGGGATGATGATATGGGAAGTTGTTGCTATGATAAAACATTTGAAACTTCAATAAAGAAAGTGAAAAATGGGAAGAATCTTATGAGCTAATAGCATATGCATGCATGCATATGGTACGATGACTCAAACATGCATATGTATATGCTACTTTCTGATAGATAATATCATATATATCATTTGCATCAATACCAGAAAAGAATCTTTGAATTGATACAGAAAGTTTGACCTGAATCCACCAGATACAACAACCTAAACATTTAAGTAAGGCATTTTATCCTGAAGCTTGGACTTCACCAAAATCCAACATTCAAAAATACTTGAGTTTAAATCGAATATAGCCAAACCAACCACAAAAAGGTCTTTTGAACTTATATACACATTTTATAGTTTTTTATGTTTTCTAATCACTTCCCGATGTAAGCAATCAGCATCCCTAGTTAACTGTACCATATACGGTTGAGACCTCGGTTTAGACCTAGTAATCAACTTCTAAGTCAATAACAGATGTAAAGCTTATATTGAAAAGCTCAGGGCCCAACCTGACTTAATTTATTGCCATCTCTACTCAAGGCTATAAAAGGTAAAACTAAAGATTAAGCACCTGAATATGTACATTAGACAGACAACATCAAGCTTTCGCTTCATAATGGCTAGAATATGCTAGTTAAAATCATCCTTCACAATGGTATTCCTCAGGCATTCTTAACTTCAGAACAGAGTGGACTACGCTAAGATGACAACATTTAACCGGAATCCATCTATAAACCAAAATAAAAAGGCGGATGAGAGGACACATATTGTTTCAAGGGGAAGTGGATCATTTTGCATTGCAAGTTCGGTCAACCAGAAAAGGAAATTGGGGGATCATTTCCCGTACTTAATAGGCAAATGAATCTTTGTCTGAAAGGGGTGAAGATATTCTTCCCCTTTTCATAAAGTTTGTCCTTTTAATAGTTGGCAAAGATATCTTTGCAGATTAGTAAACATCACCACAATGCATAGCTCCTCCATAGACCAAACAAAGCCTTTAAATTTTACCTCAATCTTTTTCTGGATAAAATACAAGCTATGACAAGAGAACTAAATCAGACAATAAGGTAATTCCAAATTGTTAGGACAAGTATTTCACTCTCAATATTGCAAATGAATATTGAATGATATGAGCAAAATCAATTCAACTTAAATGAAATCTCAAAAACGTCTGACAATCTGATTTTGGTCACCACATTAGAATATCATAAAGAAAAGTGCAAACAGTTTATATTGATGCAGCAAGTCTGACAAGAAATCAGTTGAAGGATGACAGAAGAACAAGTTACCTGCTTTATCAAAGTAACAGAAGTCGATCCACTGCAGAAGCAATCAATTGTTGGATGCATTTTTAGTTCTTTGTCCATTAACTTGAAAGCCTTCAGCAAAGACTTTTTAAGTGGCAAACAATTCTCTGGGAGTTTTTCATTTTGCTCAACCTCCAAAGAATCATGTGACTCATCATCCATGCTTGCAGATGCAGCTTCCTCAGAATTTGTTCTTCCAAGAGTGTTTCCAGATTTGTGTAGGCTGGTCTGGTTTTCATTGGAACCATCTTCCCACTGAGTACACAAAATAAGTGGAAGGGAATCTCGTACTTTCTTGGCAACCATATGACCAAAAGGACCATGACCATCAAATACCCCGCAAAAAACTGTATCACTTCTCGCAAGGAAATTCTATTACAGAAACAGTCAAACCCAGTGATTAGATATCAATACCACAAAAAGGGGATACGAAGATAACTCATGATGGTTATAAATTTTTTTCAAGCTGAGAAATATGTCTGTGTGATTTAGAAGGTGCAGCATAAATGCCACCTTTTCTGAAAACGTTGGGGAACACAAAATTTAGATGAATAGGAGTTGTCAAAAAATATATAATAAAATAATTACAGGACCACTGAGAATAGAAAAGTGAAACTTTCTACATTGCAGGGATATCTATGCTTAATTATCTTCGATTCTAACATGTCTATCAGATTAAAAATCACCCAATCTAGTTTCTAAATTTGCAGAATGTGTGATCCAGTGCATTGCTCATGCATGTGTCAGTTACATGCGAACTACACCCCATTGCTAACATTAATGACAAAGGCAATGTGATAAATTTTCTAAGAGCAGGTATAGCTAAAGCACCTCTTATTACTTCAGCAGAAAGAACTGCTATCCTCAACCTTCAGTTATTTCTATTTTGGCTTTTCCCTTTAATTTGTTGTCTTGTCTTTTCTCCTTTTTTTTTTTCACACCTTCTTTTTTATTTTTTATCTGTTGTATAATCATAATCTTGAATCGTGAATTATGCAGTTTTACAACTTGAATTTATAAGCACTGGTTTCATAAGCCACTAGTACCACTGTAGAAATCGGGCATATGTTGATCTAAAATAAGTCTTTAAATATATGCTACTTGCAAAAAAAAAAAAAGGAAGATGAGTAGTAAAGGCTCTTATACTGTGGGAAGCACAGTTTATTTTCTCTCAAAATTAGTCAGGAATTCACTTCTATACTTGCCAAGCCAGAATAAAATATCATGAGATGAACCCCAACACCATTTTTCCAATTAGAACACACATAGCTAACCTTAGATCACGTTTCACCAGAACCTAATGCTAAATGCTTGAAAATGACAAATGACTATTTGGAAACTCCAGCTTGGCAACTCAAGCTTGAAAAAATATCTAAAAGAAGCTAGACAGTTGGAAAGTCAACTGTGAAAAACAGTAGCATATTTTAATAAACAACCCATACAGAAACAATATACAGGCTTTTATACCAATGGAAGGTACTAAACTAGATACAAACCTTTGTCATGAAAAGCTCATATATCCAAATTAAACAAAACGTCGACCTAATTGGTTTGGATTGGCTAAACTACTGTCTATTCTGAATTTTACTTGGTTTAAAAGTACAAAACAAATTCTTAGGCGGTAATGAAAATTCAAAACAGGTAATGTATGATCTAAAAAGAAGTCAATCCAGATGGTAAAAAAATAAAAGAACTGTAAAATGAAGTAATAAAAATGGAGGATAAAGATTAAAGAAAAAAAAGGCATTTACTTTTAACTAACCTCCCAAACAAGCATGGCATCTTGATTGGTGCCTTTCTTGCCCTGTTGGGTGTACAAGCAAGCAATATTAGAAGCACCATTTCTGGCCATCCTACCAGGAATGTGATTTAGCAAACTTTCATCTCCGCCGCTGCCACCACCTGTTGATTTCTTTTTCCACCTGTGCCTCTTAGGAGAAGCTGCTGATGCAGCATTAGTTTCCTCCACTTCACCACTATCATCCCTTCCCCTCTTCCCTATAACAGAATAGCAAGATCCCATTTAACAATCACCAACTTCCCTTCCTTCCCAATTCTTCTTTCCAGTGCCAAAAATGCCAAATCAAAAGGAATTAAATTAGAACCCTAAACAAGTACAAGACACTACCTCCTCCACCTCCACTGTGTGGATTTAGGCTCTTTTGGGTCAAAAGATGATAACTTTACAAGCAAATAAAAAGAGCAGAAGCTGATAAAGCCTAAAAATCCATCTGGGTCCATTCAAAACACAGAGATCAAAGCTATTTTTAGCAGATACATCACTATTGATTCATCATTCCATAGATAAAGATAAGTAAACATAAAACAACAGTACCCTTTTACCTTTTACCATGTCATAAACCTTAGTAAAAAGACCCAGAAAGATAGATACAGAGAAAGAGAAAGAGAAAGAGGAGAGAGAAAGGAAGGAGACGACAAAGAAACAAATGGGTATACAGATATTAGGTAAGCGACTACAATGTATAATAGTACAATCAATATGTATATAATGCTTCTCTCTTTTTCTTTTCTTCTTTTTATTTCTTCTTTATAGGAGGTATAATTGTTTGTGTTTGGATGGCATGATAATTGCCAACTTTACTGTTAGTGCTAGCTGTAGTAGTTGATGACATTCAAGTCCATTTAGTTTGTTTTCTGAAAAAAAACAAAAGTAGTATGTCATACTTTTCTATTTTTGAGCGTTTAGATTGAAAAGTCAAATTTGGAACTGATATTTTTTTTTCGCTTCAATTTACTTTTTTATTTTAAATTTTTACATATATTGCATTTATAAATAATTTAAATTTTTTTTAAACCATCCGTATCCAATAAATGTATTTTAGTGAGGATCAAATCCGAAAATTTTTTACACATGTCCAAATTATATTGTCAACTGAGTCAAAACCTATAGATTAAATAATTTAAATTTTAATTATCAAAAATAATATCACTTATGACAAGGGCAACTCGCGAATTTTGATATTATGAAATAAGTATTTTTATAATTTTTAAAAATATGAAATTTTGCGTCAACTCTGATGGAACTACTATTAATAAAAGAAAACAATCATACAATTACTATATAGTATCAACAGAATAACAATGCAAAGTGCATTTGTTGCTCGAATTATAGAATTAACTAGAATGTTAGGAATCAAGAGATTTTATGTTTTATTATAATGGATTTGGTTGTTATAGGTTAGATTTTAAATGATAATGAGTTCCAAATTTAAGATTTTATTTGGATTATATATCAACTTATAATCTAGCCGTAAGTATATATATTCAAATTTTAATAATGCCAATTATATATGGTCTATTCTCATGTCTTATAAAAATGTGGAGAGCGAGAGTTTTTATGTTCGAGTTAACTCCATTAGTAAAATTATCGGGGGCAAATTTTTAGATTTTATTTTTTTAGCCATTTAGATATTATTTCCTCATATAATTAAAATTTTATAGTATCTAATCTTTAACTAATACTTCGTTAATCCTAAAATCATAGTTCTATATTTTTTTTACATAATTTAAGAATAATTAGCTAAATTAATCTAAATATAAAAGGTTTTCCTTATTTTTTTATATACATCCTTAAAAATGTTAATAAGAAGGGACTTATATGCCATAAAATTAAATTTTAAAATCAAATTTTTCTAAGCAACTGAAATTTTTTCAAGCCAACTAAAAAATAAATACTCTTTTAAAAAAAAAACTAAAAAACAAATACTTAAATTCTAAAAGATATCACGGCAAGCACACATCGGAATAGCTATGATTTTCTTTGCCATTTTCAGAATAAAATGAATGGTTAGTGTATAAAATTTCAAAATTAATTATTTGAAGATTTTTTTTCATCGTCCACTAAATTTAATCAATAGAAATTATTCACACAGATTATTATACAATGATACTGTAAAAAAAAGTAAAAATTTTCTAAAAATACAACTAGACATTTTTTTGAAACATCCAAACAAAAAATTGGGGATAAAATATAAGTTTGGACCGAGGGCGTGAGTCGTGACCTGGCAACAAGAAAGCAACAAAGAAGCAAAGGCCAAGACTCAAGAGAGTTGGTGGGAAAAAAAAAACAGAGGATGACATTAAAGAGGAGGGTCATAACGCTCCCCGTGATTTTGGTGGTATGCTGTCTTCAATTTTAATCTTTTTTTTTTTTATATGTAAATATTTTATGCACAATTTCCACACTTCCCGTTAGGATCTAAATTATTTTTATATTTGAATACAAATTTAAAAATATATCATTTTCATGATTTAAAAATATAGTTTTATTTTTATTGAATTGATTAGTCTAAAAGTAAAAATGATCCGTTGGATCTACATTTATCGAAAGTATAAAATTGGAAGTATAAAAATTATTTATCCAATCCGTAGGTATCCAATTCAATATGATTTTAATATATTATTTAATTGCTATCTGACGAGGGAATAGGGAATACCTAATCACTAAATGTGGATGGATTTGCATTATTTATTTTAGTCCCACCCTCTCTTATTTACATGTATATTTATGTGGATAAATTTCAAAGTGGAGTCATAGTTGAATGGAATATATATTTTATTTTTGTTTTTAACATCTTAATTCCATGCCAGCTTCTACATCTTTTTTTTTTTTTTTATAATATAATCATTTTTGCAGTTTATTTGAAAATAATTTGCTTTGAGTTGTATCTTTTTTTATTTTTGTACCAGTAGCCATGGTTGCTGCTATGCATATGTAAATATTCTTTATCTATTAATTTTAGAGATATTTGTAAATAATATTTTAAAATATTAAATTTAATTAAAAAAATTATAATTTAAATTATTTTTAATTTTATATTATTTAAATTTTGTTGAAAAATATTTAAATTAAAGAACATCTATTTTTTCAAATTTAAAAACATTAGACTAATTATATAAAATTCATGTCATAATAAAATTGAAAGAAAATAAAAATTATATATTTAAAAATCACTGATTTTTTAATTTATTTTTGAATTAATAAACTTTCTTAGACAATAATAAAAATAATAAACATAAATAAAATTAAAATGGAACCAATAGAAAATTCAATTCATATATGTATATATATCATTTTCTTAATTGAATAATTTTATATTAAACCACTTTCTCTTATGATTTATCAAGTTCTGCCTAATTTTGATAGAGTAATAGAAATTAGAGAGTAATAGAAATTAGAAGAGAAAAAAAATGTATCTATGTCGAAAAGAAATTGTATAAAAATTATTGAAATTACAAAAAAAAAAAAAAAATGATCTTACCAAACCTCAAAGAGCTCTCTCTCTGTTTATAGACTATATATATTTAATTTTCTGTATTCAGATGCTTATACTCTTTTACTTCTTTTTGTATTCAGATACTTTTTACTTCTTTTTTGCTTCTTTAAGCTATTGAGGGACGTCGAGTGAGTGATTGATATTATACATCCTGATGAATTAACTAAATCTATAAAGAGCTTCACAAAGAAATTTCGGTTTTTAGCGAATGTTTAATTCAGCTAGTATTTTAAAAGTCATTGTGCCAAGATTTCATAGAAGAAGGGATTTCATATTGATCAACAACCATTAGATTTTTATTTATTTTTTCATCTCTTATAATATTTATTTCTACAATCGGTAGAATTATTATTGAATTGAATATTTTATTTTTTAGACACTATTCTTGATTTTTTATTTTTTCTTTTATGATATTTATTTCTACAGTTGGTCGAATTATTATTGAATTATTGTATTTTATTTTTTAGACACAATTTTTTTTAGCGTAGAATAAATTTTAAAAAATTTTTCCATTATATGATATATTATATATATCAATACAGTAGTTATATCCTAATATAAATTCTCATGATAACAATAATATAAAATTGATAAATAAAATATAACATTTGTACCTTTAATTCTTAGAGTTATCATTGAAATTCAAAATAACTACTTTAATTTATTGATATTTTAATATTTAAAGTTAATAAACTTTTTAAAGGTGAAATTAAATTGAAATTTTTGTAATTCAAAACATTAATTCTAGTAGATTATGAAAATAATATAAATGCATTAAAAATAATTTATAAATTATAAATAAATTGTAAATTATAAATAATTTATAAAATTATAATAAATTGTAAATTTTATTATTACTATAAAGTATTAATAATATTAGCAACAAAAAAATTTACCCAAATGCGAGAGCCTTCCACCTAGTTATATTTACTAAGATGTTATTTTAATTATTGAGAATTTGAATATAAATTAATATCAATATTTTATATAACAAATATAATCAACAAAATAATATAAATGCATTAAAAATAATTTATAAATTATAAATAAATTGTAAATTATTATAAACTATAAAGTATAATATATAGCAACAAAAAAAATTTACCCAATGCGAGAGCCTTCACCTAGTTATTTACTAAGATGTATTAATTATGAGAATTGAATGATAATTAATATCAATATTTATATAACAATATAATCAACAATTAAATTCTATGTGACACTATTAAAATTTAAGAGTCTTATGTAATATTATAATCTCATGTGTCATCACCAAAAAGTTTATATGACAAGAGTAAGAAAAGGTCGTTCATTCAAGAAGCTTTGTCTTTCCATTTAAATCTTGCATTTTTACCATTAATTTCAAATGAAAATTTGAAAAATGCTCTCTAAATTCCTTACAAATCCACCTAGCAATTCTCCACATCAAAAGAGACAAAATCAAGCTTGAAATTGGCAGCAGCTTAAAGTTTTTTTTTATTATTTCAATCAATAAATCAATCGGTCATTGGAAAAAACTGGAGAAACCGCAGTTTGATGCTACATGTAGTTCGCTTCCGGTTTTTAATTGTAAAATAATTTGACTTTTCGGTGAAGTTCGGTTTTGGACAAAAAAGTTTGGTTGGCCGACCCGACCCGAACTTTGATGCTGCGTGGTTTTAAACTCTTGTTTGGTTACTTTAGGTTTTATCTTTTTTTCTCGTTTCTTTTCTGCGCCGCGCTTGCGCCCGTCTCTTTGATCTCATCTCATAGACAGTTTCGTTCTCCTGCTTCCTCAACTCATAGCCGGCGCCCAGAGTCCGGTCTCCATCTCCGGTCCCTTCTTTGATTCTCATATTCGATTCCAGCTGTCAACTGAAAATTCAATGAGTTAAACTGAGTTGTTTCATCTTTTTTTATTATTATTTTTTATTTTAGAGTCTTCTTCCATTTGAATTCTCAAATTTCAATTTTACTGTTTTGTTTTGATCTGAAGGCTACATGTACCAAGGAAAGGCAAGGGAGTCAGTAGCCTTTACCTTGACTTGCCAAAGCGGCTGTAGCTATATCTATGACTGATGAGAAGTTAACTGGCCGGTGGTTGTATGGGATCTCTCTGAGATCTCTGTTGACATATCTGCTTACCGAGCTTCTCACATTTTTTTTCTTTTATTATTGAATCGATCGACGATGAGGAGGGTGAGAGTGGGAAAATGGCATAGGATTTAGCCTTTTTGAGAGACCCTCCTCTTACATTGAAAAAAGAAACATTTGTTTTTGAGTCACCTTCCAGGCATTCTGCTTTGATCTTCCGGCAGTTTGCGTCTATCGGTGACTACATGCTGATGATGAACTCTCTGGTACTTTAATTATTATGAAATTAGCTAATTAATTGGTTTGTTATAACCTTTTAGTATCAGTGTTTAAGTCCAAGTAAATTCATATTATCAATTGTATCTTATCTTAATGGGTTTTAATCTTTTAACTATTCTAACATGGTTTTCTCCTAACCTCCAAACTCAGTTGGAGCATATTTTAAAGTTCTTTAAAGTTCTTTCAACTCTCTAAACTATTCCACCGAGAAAGCACACTTAATTATAAAGTTCTTCCAACTCAATCAAACGAGTAAACTTAATTTTAAAGTTCCTCAAACTCTCTAAGCTATTCACCAAAAAGCATTTTTGATTATTAGTTTTTATATTAACAATGTACGTCTTGATTCATTCATGTGCTCACATTCTACTACTCTAGATAGTCTCATCATATTAGAAGCCTATCACGAGCGACTCCCTGATGCCATTCCCCATCATGTTCCGAACGGTTTATTTCGAGGATAGTTTTATATGGTTCTACCAAAATAAAGGGATAAAATACTAAATTTAGGCAAACTTCAATGACTAACACTTTACCTTTTGCTGTCGAAAAAACTATTGTTATAATTATTTGAGTAATCCCTATTGTTTATATAAATATTTAGAGCTGTTCGTACTGTGAAACAATCACAAGTTGACTAATAGCTTGAGCATGTCAAGTAGGACTGTACATGGGTTCTATGGGATCCAAATCGAACTGAGAAACTGTTTAAACCGAACGGAAATAAAAAAATAACTGAGATAATAGGAGCCAAACCATACTGAACTGCATCAAAATCGTACCAGAACTAAATTGAACTGAACTGAACCGAAAAATCAATTTATACATATATTTTTTCTCTAATATTTTAGTATATTATATTATTTTGTAGTAGACATAAAATTTTATTATTTAAAAATAAAATATTTTTAGTTGATACTATTTAATTAATAATGTAAATGGAATATAAATTAAAATTATTTATCTCATATAAAAAATTAATATATGATGCTTCTCATCATCTCTTATTATATATAATATTGTAACAATACCAATGATTCGTAATATTTATATATATTTATAATTTAAATAAAAGGTGTTTTAATTGTAAGTGACATTGTTAAAGTTCTATATCAAAAACTACATTATATCAAACTAAATTTCTATAATATTTTGAGATAATCTTATTTAATTGATTATATTGATTTCATATTTAAATGAAAATTACATATGTTTTTAACTGAAATTAAATCACGTTAACTAGACAATAAAAAATATTAATTTAATTAGCCAATTCTTTAATTTTATTTTGATAGTCTGAATATTTTTATATAAAGGAATATTACAAATATTTTCCAGCGAGACACTTAAATAAAAAAAAAGAAAATTTCATGCATTAAAGTTATCACGTTCTCTAATATAAACTGTTTATATTATAATTTACAACAAAAAACTAATAGAAAATTAGATATTATTAACTAAGTTACATTTACGAGTAAAAGTTAACGAGTAATAACGTGCAATACACGTAGGAACAAAACTAATTGATTTAAGTAATTGATAGCCATTTCACACTCAACGATTAAATTATAGGTGTTTGGTAAGATTTAATGAGCCATTTATAAACTATAGAAACCACAATCAGCTGCTAAAAGAATTTAAAAGAAAAAGAATTTAAAAGAAAACGATTAAATTATAGGTGGACAGTCTTCATTCAAGTGGATCAAAGCCCAAAAGCTATCACTTGATTTCACAGCTGCAATGTCTGCTAGTTGCTAGTGCTATTCCTAGTTGAGGGCTTAAGTTCGATGGGCTTTTAGTCTTCGGCAACCAAAAGGAGATTTTGCATGTCCATCGTGTGAATTAGCCTATTTAAGGGTGTGGAGCAGAAACAGCAAAGTTTCCTTCTGCTTGCTTTCTGTATTAAACTTTCGCGACCCAAAGTTTTGATCTTCAACGACTAAAGGTAAAAATTTCATTGTTTTATCTTGGTTTCCGATTGATTTCTCTACCATATTTTTCAGATATTATCAATGGTGATCCCATTTTTTAGTTTTTTATTTGTATTATTTTTTGTTTTTGTTTTTTTCCCCCTGTTTTCGGTTTAGTTTTCTGTTATTGTCTTTGAATTTCCTTTAGAATTAAGTTTCACTTTGTATTCAAAAAAGGCTGTTACTTTATAACATTGCAGGAAGCAAAAGAAGTATAGTTTAGTTCATTATTACAAAAATTTGATAGCTCCTGCTTCTCGGTTTATGTGTTTAGGGTTCAGTCCTAATCCTTTTTCTCCTCTTCCTAAATAGACTACTTTACTAACAGCTTTTTTGCATTTTGTTTTAATCATTTTATGACTTTATTCTTCGTATTCAATCAACTATTATAGCATTTAGTTTCTTGGAAAAAAAAAAAAGATGGTATAGCCCTTAATTTGTTTGTATGTATTTATATTTAAATCTATGTCAATTTCTCTGTGCATACAGCCATACAGGCCTTTGTCAATGGCCGACGAAAAGGTGGACAATCAAGTCTCCATTGAAGAACATGGGACAAAAGAAGAAAATGGGACTTTAGAGACTTCGATAAGCAAAGAAAATGATGAGTCTTCTGACCCTTCTTCTGCGATACAAAAAGATGACGATGAGGGGAAAGGTGATTAGTTTTAGAGGTTTTCTTTACTATGCTGCTTCTTTTGTTTTTTTTTTTTTTTTGTGATTTTCTTGAATGGAAAAGGATTGATCAAAGATTTTTTTTTTGGCAACGTAGTCAAGTTTTTGAGAGACAAAGAACACATTTTTATGTCGGTTTAGACACTAGGCATATCTTAGATACTATGCATATTCAGATATTTCAGTCCTCAAAACTTGCCCAGAAGTTTATAATATAGCTAGAACCTTTTTTTTGGTTGCAGAAGTTGCAAAGAAGAAAAAGAAGAAAAATAAAAGCAAGTGAGGACCTTTTTCTTTCTTGATAGATCACGGATGCTAACTTTTTAACTTGATAGTCAATAATGTCTTATCCGGTATTCCACAGGAAAAAGAAGGAATTGCCACAACAAACTGATCCACCCTCTGTTCCCGTTGTTGATCTTTTTCCATCTGCAGAGTTTCCTGAGGGTGAAATTCAACAGTACAGAGATGAGTGAGTATATTTTGTTCTCCTTGACCACAACCTAGTCCAATTCATTATGTGTACAAGATAGCATATGCTATGCTGTTGCTCATGTTGAGTTATTGTGTAACTCTGTTGGCTGAACGTGTTTGAGAAATAGCAAAATTCATTAAACTTCATAGATCCATACTGTTATTAGTTGATACTTCACCAGTCATTTTTCACTTTAATAGAACTGAAATTGAGTGAACTTGTTAATGGATGAGTGATGATTTTTCCTTTCAGATTCAAATATATTGAAATCAAGATGACTGTTGTCAATGAATTTTCCCATCGCCATCCTCAACTCTAAATTAGTATCCTTTAAGTGAATTCTGCATCTTTTGTTTGCTTTCTTTGTTGAACTGATAATTGGGAACTTATGTCTCAGTAATTTATGGAGGACCACATCTGAAGAGAAGAGAGAGTTAGAGCGCCTTGAAAAACCCATTTATAATTCTATTCGCCAAGCAGCAGAAGTTCATCGTCAGGTTGCCATTAGGTTGTGTTTGTAACTATTGTTGCTTAATACTTTGTGAAATTTGCTTGACATTTTGTCTGTGGGTGTTAGGTTCGGAAGTACATCAAAGGCATTTTGAAGCCTGGAATGTTAATGACTGACTTATGTGAAACCTTGGAGAATACGGTTCGCAAGTTAATATCAGAGAATGGTCTACAAGCAGGCATTGCATTTCCTACTGGATGTTCTTTGAACTGGTGAACATTTTCTGTGGGTACATTGTGGAATTAAATATTTTCCTCATAATTGTACCCTTATTGAAGTTATTTTCCTTTATTGTTAGGGTTGCTGCTCATTGGACCCCTAATTCAGGGGATAATACTGTGCTTCAGTATGATGATGTGATGAAATTGGATTTTGGAACACATATTGATGGTAAAAGCTCTTGCAGTCTTAATTTAGTGGGTTCTAATCTTACACAGTTGTTAGAGTTGAACTGTGGATGCAACACGCTGCCACTATTTTTTAAATGGGTGGATTATTTCAAATGCTGTTGATTGGATTTGCAGGGTATATTGTGGACTGTGCATTTACAGTGGCATTCAACCCTATGTATGACCCGCTACTTGAGGCTTCGCGAGAGGCAACCAATACGGGTATCAAGGTGCTAGAACATATACCCATACAGTTTAACTCCATTTATTTGGTACTCCGCAGTCAATTAAAAACGGGTTTTGTTTTCATCTGATTCTTAGTTTTGAATTACTAGGACTTCCGTTAAAAAAGAAAAGAGAGATCTATTTGGAGTTTATTGTCAATTCTTGATGTTCAACAGAGAAAAAGCTTTTTATTTATTAATCGAGTCTAGAGTTCTCTATGAGTCTTGCATTTATTTTCTCAACATCAAAATTATATTTTGATGTTAATTTGAAAGTTTCATACTCTGGGTTGTGCTACTTGTCAGGAAAAGTTGAGTCTTTATTAATACTGTGAAATCTAGCCTTTTGCTTTCCCCTCCTCTTTGCTCTTGCTCACACACTTATGTTCTGTCTAATGTAGCTGCTAAAATACATCAGATACTGTTTCCCAACCCGGACTGCTACCTAGTTTCATTGTTGCATTGCTTTAATTATCCCAAACTTCCCCAACTTCACACTTAGTAGAGCACA